GTTTGGTTTTGTTCTTTTTGTTTTCTCTTTAAAACCTCCACTCTCTGGCAGGACACGATGCCTATTGTTTCTTTACCTCTGTGTCCTCTTGTAACAGAATGAATATTACTGTAGGTTAGACTTCTTATGGAAGAACAAGTTCAAAAAAGAGCGGGAGGAGATCGAGACCATGGAGAACCTGAACCGCGTGCTGCTGGAGAACGTGCTTCCCGCACACGTGGCCGAGCACTTCCTGGCCCGGAGCCTCAAGAACGAGGTCAGCACGTGGGGTTGGGCTGGGGCAGGGCAGGAGGAACTTGGGTCCACATGTGCACAGCTGGCCTGGAACTGTCACTTTCAAGAGCATGCTGATGGGTCAAGAGACATCAGCTGAGAATAGGGCATTAGAATCACCCAGTGTCTGAGCAAGGGGTTGATTCATTATGCAAGGTTTTATGTAAAGTTCTAGATGTGCATTCTGAGGTGCTGTCGTTCTAAATATGCCTCCCAAAGTGGCTACTTCCCTCTCCTGGTGTGGGAGACTCCTTCCTCACCAGCCATGACGGAGCCCAACCAAGAGTCCTTAATCAGCCATGCAGCCTGCAGGCTCAGGGTGCCTTGCTCCTAGCTTCCCCAAGAGCCTTTTAAGGAACTTAGAATTTCAGAGATAATGAGATAATTTGTGAAACCCACTGCATTTAGCAGTTATTGACACAAGAACAAAGTCTTGCGTCTGTCCATATGAATGGATGGAAATGGGAATTTTATGGAACATTACAGGAATGGATAGTTAGCTCGAGCTGAAAAGACCAGGCTGTCATTAAAATGCTGAAAAGGTTTATGAAATGAAACATCGTGGGATTGCAGAGATCACCAGTTACAAGAGCAAGACACAGCTCTGCAGACGGACTTCCTTTGAAAGCATGCACAGGAGCAAGGGCTGAGTGCACATCCCTGAGCTCAGGGCTGCAGAGACTCGGAGCCATCACTGCACTTAGGAGATCGCCACTGAGGTCCAGGAGTGGACAGGGAGGGTAGCAGAGGGAACCCATTGACAAATGAGCTAATAGTAGATGAGCTCGACCCAGACGATACCAGAATACAAAGCAGCATGGTGTGGGACAGCACTTCCCTATGGCATGCAGGTGTAGTGGAAATTGGGAATGCGGTGCAGGTGGGTGAGGGGCTGCAGGCCAGCTCTCTCGTCTCCCTGACAGCGTGCAGGGCATGGGAGCCTTCCAGGCTGTGCCCTTAACGATTTCCTCCCCTGGTAATTTCTACACTCAGGAGGTATACCAGCAGCCTATTTGCCTGTTCATCACAGGAAACAAAATCACTGTTGTCATTAGCAATATAGGAGCCAAATATCTGTTGTCGATTCAGTTTTAAGTTCAGCCATGCTGCCCTGTGGCCCAGCTGGCATTGCCCTGGATGTAGAGACAAACAGGTCAGAAGCAGCCACCCTCCTGGGTTCCTCCTGTGAACTGGAGCCTATTATGTCCAAGGACACTAGGAGTGCAAAGGTCAGGGTCCAGGATGGCCACTCTGAGCAAGGGACTTCTGAATCTAAACTAGCCAGGAGATGGAGTCAAGGAGGGAGAGGGATGGGGAGAAGATTCCAGGCAGTTAGGGGCTACTCTCCCCCTGGCACGAGGAAAGCACCTAGTGAAGACTTGGAGGAGCCCTGGGGCAGACAGGAAGAGGTAGTGCTGAAGCCCAACCACAGGTCTGGCCCTCCCACATGGTGTCCCTGGGCTGGACTGTCTTGTCTGTTTGCTTGGCTTATTCTAAGGTTGCGCTTTAGAAATAACCCAGAAAGCCCAGTTGAGGAAGAAGAGAAAAGCGTACAGCTATACGCCATGGGCTCACACCTTAGCCCCAACTCTGTCTGTTCTTGTGACCTTGAGACAGTTTCTTCTGAGGTCAGAGCCTCAGTTTCCCCATTTGTAAAGGGAGAAGAAATATGCCTTCCCTGGCAGAGTTGTCGGGTAGAGTGCAGTGCGTTTGCACAGTGCTGGGTGCAGGGGAGGTGGCACTTCACAGAGCAGAGCACAGGGCCCATGTCCACACTGGTGAGACCCAGAGCAGAGAGCACCTTCCCTCCGCATGACCCTCAGGTTCTCTGAGGGAGGGTGGACACTCCTCTCCGAGTCTCCTAATCAGTGCCGCCATTTGAAGTATCAAAAGGGCACACAGCATCTCCTGTGGCCCTCCCCACTCAGGCTGGCCCCACTGAACATGAGTCCTGAGCTGAGAGCCAGAGGCCTGGGCTGAGTCCTGCTCTTGCTGCTGCCTCACTGCACATGGGCAATTGGGACCTCTTCGGGAACAAAGTGGAAATCAGCTCATTTAGATGAAAACAGCTCTGTGCTTTGTTTCCTCCCTCCTCAAGTAAAGC